ATGCAACCTCATAGCACAGCTCGGGCTTTCCTTTTGATCTATGTAAACTGCTACAAGATAGAGGGCTGTATTCTTTATGGTTAATTTTGGTTGACAACTAAACTAGATGGAGCGATGTCTACAAAATAGGTAAAATATATCTGTAAGTGTGTCTGTGAGGATATCTGAAGATGGGGTGTAGGTCATACAATTAGTGGGAAAATAAATGTGGGTGGCACCATCTAATATAGTTGGAGGACCCACCTGGAGTAAATGGAAAAGAAAGGGGAGGTTCTAATACATTGCACAAAGGTGGACACACTACTAATCATAGTTGTTACCTGTGGGTAACAGATTATAGATTATGAAGCCTTTAAATGCAGACTTTCACAGAGCAGTAATTCTTCAGGTTGCTCTCAGGCCTTCAGTCTTGGTCTAGAACTTCACCATTGTCTTTCTTGTTAAATCCTCTTAGATAAAAAAAAATAAATAAAAAAAGCTAACTACCAGTTTTCCTGGCTCTCCAGCCTGCAGCTAGCTTTGCAGGACTAGGTAGCTTGACCGTGTAAGCTAAGCCAACCTCCTAAATCCCCCTTTTAATTACATATATTCTTTTTGGTGTGTTTTTATAGAGAACTGTGACTAATATCCATAAACCAGAGGGGTGAAAGGCAGGCATGCTGTGGAGTTGGGGAAGAGTGAGAAAGAATTCCTTCCATAGTGTCACTAGACGTGAGTGAACTCAGCTATTTAGTAGAAATGAACATATCTATCCTCCAAAAAAAGGCCAAAAGCAGGTTCTGCCTACATCTCTATATGAAGAAACTGATATTTAAACAAATGAAGTTAAGTATCCAAGTTCATACAACTAGAAGTGAGGATTTTATGTTGTCTTTTCAATTTCTGAGATACTGTCTTTGACCCTGAAATTATCTGGGGGTAAAAAAGGAGAGAGGGAGATTAAGAGGCTGGGGCTGGGAAGTTTCCAACCTTGTGCCAAACTCAAGGGAGATGAGAGTGACTTTAAAATGCCAGAACCCTGGCCTCCTGGCTCACAACCAGAGACTGAGGCAGGAGGAGTATATGCATTCAGAGCGATCCAAGCTATTCGGTGACTTCTAGGCCAGCCTGAGCTACAGAATGATACCTTGTATCAAAAACAAACAGATAACACATAAATAAAAATAAAAACCTAAAATGTCAATAGCCTCATTCTTGTGGAACCCAAACACAATAGTCTTGAGTCAGTGCCTAAGAAGTAGACGCTATGACTAGACAACAACCATAAACACAGGTCCTTCAAAGATTGATTTTACTTGTGTCCGTGGGAGAATAAAAACATAAAATCAAACAAAAACCACAGTTTGGCAACATTTCCAGCCTTTAAGAGGACTAAATAAACAAGAGTTTGGATAAGAAAAAAAAACAGCCATTTCAGGGCTGAAGGGTCGGCAAGACACATGTTGAGAAAGATCAGCAGAGCTTAGTGTTAATTTATGATGGAAGCATGGGTAAGTTCCACAGGAGCAGAACTTACAGATTCCACCCTTCTTCTCTGTGGGAAAAAGCCAGTCATAGCTGGGTAAATGTTTTGGTGGAAAGCACGTATGCTCAAGACAACAAAGCTAGGAATATGTATGCCTCCGTTCTCGGGATCCTCACGGGACCCATGCCACTGGTTAGCCTCCCACGTGCATAAGGGCAGGTCCCTGCTGGGTACGCTGTCCTCCAGAGGACATCAGAGAGCATCCCACCAGGGCCCAGGACTCTGGACCACAGAGGGGCCATTGAGAAGCCGTCCAAAGGCAATTTGTGTTCCCTCATGGATTTGGCAAGCTCTGAAGGTCACATCTCAGCTTGCCCTAAAGACTGAAGCTTCCTCTATGAACTTTAATTCCCCTTTCCTTAACTCCCTCCCACCAAAGGCTGCAAAAAGCTAGTGCAGTCTCCTACATCAAAGAATGCCTTTTGCTGAAAGAGTCAAGGTTACTCCTTCTGGCCCCTCTACCATTTATGACTTAAGAAAGGGAAGGCAGGAAGAACCGACCCCAAGTATTTACTGTGCTCTCTTTTAAAGCCTGCCCTGTTTGCACAAGGCTTATCTTGTGTCCACACAGGCTGTTTGCCCCAGGTCTGAAGTGGAAGTTTGATGAGGTGAGCTTGGTTGGTGAGCCAGAGAGAGAGAGAGAGAGAGAGAGAGAGAGAGAGAGAGAGAGAGAGAGAGAGAGAGAGAGGTAGGCAGGCCCACAGCCCATGAATCCTCCAATATTAAGACATGGATTCATGGTTTTGCTAAATTCTCTTTGGATCTGCCCCCTTTTGTCGGAATTTCCCACATATGAAGAAAAGCAAAGATGAATGTCCCAACAATCATCTCTGGCCTATGGGAAAAATGGTTTTTAAGATGGATTGGGGAGAAATACACTTTGGAAGGTGCTAAAGTTTTTACTGTGAAAACACACAAATCTTTGAAACCTTTTCTGCCCTTTATATCCTTCACACAGCTACTAAAAGTAATATTATAAATAAAAAGTCATGTCTGGAAGATAGGAGAGAGGGAAAGAAAGAAGAAAGGAAAAGAAAAGAATGGAAGAAAGCTCACTCTAATTTGCCTTGTTTTCTTGTGCAAGCCTACTCTTCCTACAAAACATTTCCAAAATACCTGTAAGTCAAATCTCCAACCTTCTTAGACAGCCCATCGGTGAGTGTTGGCACCAAGGGGTCAGCTCTGGCTCTTGCAATAGGGAGCGCTCCTGTCAGGCAACTGCTGTGGAGATAGCACCTGCTTAAACAAACAGCTAACTAAAATGCTAACACATTTCACATAAGATTATTATTATCATTAGTAGTAGTAGTAGTAGTAGTAGTAGTAGTAGTAGTAGTAGTAGTAGTATTGATACAAATGCCAGAACACTTCTGATTCAAGGTAAAACAATGTAAAGCAACCCCCTTTCTAATGACCTTGCATTCAACTAAAGCCTGTTAGGGGCCAGAGGTTAGGTTTTTGTGAATTTGATATAAGCAAGTGCTACCTGGAAAGAGGGACCCTCCACTGATAAAATGCCTCCACTAGATTGACCTTTAGGCAAGTCTGTGAAAATGATGGATGTGGGAAGGCCCAGTCCACTGTGGATAAAACCACCTCTGGGCAGGTGGTCCTGAGATGTTTGGGAAACCAAGATGAGCAAGCCAGAAGGAGCCAGCCTTTAAGCAGAGTTCCTCTATGGTCTCTGCTTCAGCTCCTGCCTCTAGTTGCTGTCCTGACTTTCCTTTCTGACAGAACAAGCTGTAAGATGGAACAGACCCTTTCCTCCCAAGTTGCTTCTGGTCATGGTCTTTATCACAGCAACAGAAACCAAACTAGAATAGAATCTAAGTTGGGAGTTAACAAGCTATAGCCAACAGGCCAAATGTAGTCTTCCACATTTATTTTTGTAACTAAATTTCCCTGGAGTTCCGCCAGAGCCACTTGTTTGTGAACTGCCTATGGCCTCTTTTACTGCAAAGGCAGAGCTGAGAATTACCAACAAAGATATGCTAGCCACTTCTTAGCCATGTGAGCCTAAAACCCTTACAATATGCCAGTTTATGGCAAATATGCCAGGCTACTGTGGAATAAAGATGGGAAATACACAGAGTCTGGATCCAGTATGTACTTATGTCTCCTTTGAGTTTTTTGACTGATGATGGAGTGATAGCTGCTCAGAGATAATTGATTTTGAAAGCCACTAGATCAAACTAACCTATATATACCTTAAAAATATCTTGACTTCTAAGTGAAACACAATAGCTGTGTTGCTTTGATGTGGAGATTATGCTTATATTTCCACAGAATATGAGGCTTGTGGATTCATTCCAGTATGATATAGATCAGGTTTCATTAATAAAAAGACCCCCCCACTGAAAATTATGGCTGAAAAAAAGAAAGAAACCTAGAAAAACAACTATAAAATACATAACATATATTTAATCTGCTCAAACATAAAACAAAAAAATCATCTTTGGCTGACTTGTGTACAATGCACAGTCTAAACATGTATTAATGCAGATTTGTACGTTACTTTAAAGAAGTTTAATATTACAGACATATAAGGCAAATATGTATGGTTTTTCTGTAGTCCCAGTTAAACCAAAAATTTAAACTGACTTTGGAGTTGGAGCATGGTTCTCTCCCTCTCTAAACCTAAGTATGCTTGTTAAAGAAAAATCCAAACTCTCTGTCTCATATCAGAAGAGTCATCTGATATGAGACAGAAGAAAAAACAAAATTAAGGGACTATTCTATTTGCCACTAATCTCATAATTCTTTAGTGTTATTTTGGCTCTTTAAAACTTTTCTTAAGATATAAATATTATTTAAAAATATACAGAATTACACACACACACACACACACACACACACACACACATATATATATATATATATATATATATATATTAAACTCTCTGCCATGATAATTAATAGTCATATAGAGTACTAACTAATTCTAGAAAAAGGTTTAATCTAGCTTCTTATACATGGTTTTAGGTTTGAGTCTGTATCATGTAACTAGGAATTAAGTTTTTGTAATCTGGATGCACTTAAGAAATTGTGGTCCTTTAACTCCTTTGAGACCTACTGCATATGACATTTACAGTGTTTAAGGTTTTTTGCAGTGAACCGTGACCATTCCTAACAGCAACCTTTAAAGTCTTCAGAAGGAGAATGGGACTCCACAGTGACAATTCCACCTGGATTGTGGTAATGACACAAAGCTGACAAACAACACCCAAAGATTGGCTTTGGACTACAAACTGCTCAGAACAATTTAAGGTGGCTAGCTGAGATGGACCAGCCTCACAGACTACTCTAGCCAGGACTTGAGATAAGCCCTACACTTTCCCATCACACAGAGACTGAACAATAAATGATACAGCTAGATATCAGAGGACTTGACAATTATCTCAATTTTCTCCAAGGCACCTAAAGATGTTGTTATCCCCAGACAACAGGAAGTAATTTTAAGAACACAATGCCCACATTCCCAAAAGGAGTGGGCAGTTTTTTATTGTTCAGTGGGTTATGGATGTTTGCTATCATTTAGGAGGTTGGCTACAAGTTCTTATTGGTAATGATCAGGATAGATTCAGGTATTTCATTCTGGAAAAAAATGAGAGATATAGAAATGATAGGATGAAATGGTAGACTATTAAATCTACTTTTAAGCCCAAAAAGCAACTAGTAGTCTTAAATATTTTACATTATTATGAAGTTTTGTATATTAGTACAAATTTGAGGTTATTCTTGTTATACTGTATATAATATTGATACAAATTTACAGTTTTTTGATACAACATATTGTACATACATTTTTACACTTGTTTAAGATATTGTAGGTTGTTTAACAATGTAATATAAATTTCTAGTCTTTGAAAGTTATTATTACAAACTCTTTAGGATAATAAAGAAATGCAGGTTAGTAGTTAGTGACCTATTACAATCAGGTATGTTTTCAAGGTCATACATTATATATTTAGATAGATAGATAGATAGTCTTCAAAAACTACAGACTATGGCTTTAATATGTTTAATAACCTAAAGGTTTTCATGACAGTGAGGCAGGTCTGTTCCTGACAACACCAATTTACTTCAACAGAGGATAATGGACATCAAAGAAGCTCCATACAGAGTTTGTTTTCTGTATGAAAAAAAGCTAGCCCTTTGAGCAAAATAAATGCCCTTTGCCTCAATTGATGACAGTGTATTGTCCACCTGGACCAGCAGTATGCAAAAAAGCAACTGCTGAACTTTACCAAGACAAGGTAGAATGTTCTTCAAATTTCCTGTCTTCTCAAAAATGCCTGTCAGATACCCTAGGCCTATAGGCCAAAGACAGATTCCCCAACATTACAGAAGAATGTTAGATGACTGTCCAAACAGCAGATGTCCCTATCATTAGGTAACATTTCACCCCTTCTAGGGTCTTTGATGAAATGAAAGATTAAATAATTATTCTTAAAATTTTCCTTAGTTATGATAAAGTTAAATTATGTATAAAACTTTAGACTTACAAAGATAAGATAGATAATAGAGTAATTTCTCTATTTTTGCCAAATACAAATGTATTGGATATTGTAACTGTAATTCTTAATTGATAACTGTTTTTGTTGTATATAATTTGACTGTGTCAAAGTTAAAACCTCCCTTTTTATTTAGACTAAAAGGGGGAAATGCTGTGGAATAATCCTTCTGTATACTGTGATAATGTAGTGCTGTCATTGTTAAAAAGTTGATTGGCTGATAGCTAGGCAGGATTTGGGGGGCAGAGGGAAAACTGAGAAGAAGTGTGGAGCCTGGAGCCACAAGCCAGATGCAGAAGCAGCGACATAGATAAGGTAGACAAGCCTCAGCAATAAATGAATAGAAACGTGTTAATTTAAGGTGTAAATGTTGGCTGGGGACAAGCCTAAGTTACTGGCCCAGCATTTATAATTAATAATAAGTCTCTGGTTGATTATTAGGAACTGGCTTGTGGGACAGAAAAGTCTTCCTACACAAAGCCCTGAACTAAATTTGTGGTGATATTTTTCTTGCACAAATAAAGCCTGTCTGGGGGGTCAGAGAGAAGGAGCAAGCCGCAGCACACCTTACCTCCTAAGCATCTCAGCAGAGAAGACAGCGATTTCCTGTTTGTTCCTGCTTATATCATGTTTCTGCCTAGCTATATCACTTACTGTCTATCTGTACAGACCTACAGACCTCTATGGTTAGCTAGTGGCAATCTCCATTCCCTTATTTGTGTAAGAAAGATGTCACCACACAAACTGTTTCATAATTTATTTTCAAATAGGTGATTTCTGGTTCTTTTTCATTACTTGATATAAGTGTTTAAAATTATAACTTCCTTTTGTGTAAGCAGAGAACATTTTATCTCTCCAATTATGGATAACAGTCTTGCCCATTCTAAAGTGGATATACAGAACACAAACTTGAAGTGTAGCCATGTTCCCACACACACTCTTTGTGTGGCCTTGCCCTTATTGATGTGTGCTGTGTTAGTAAGCTGAGGACAGATCTCTAATGTAAAAATAGAATATCTGTGGAAAGGTTACCAGTGTCAGCTGTGAAACTGGCCACTGGATCCAGGTGAAGGAGAGCACACAGCATCCCACTGATCTAAAGCAACAAAGTGACACGGGGTGCTGTATCAGTTTCCTTTGGAAGAACTGGGTCTGCTTCTCTCATGCTCTCTTGAGTCACACTTGGTGACTCTTGAGGCAGCAGAGGCTGAAACTTGGTGATCTGGGTGCAGATCATGAGATGAACTCATGAACAGAGTCTGCTGTCCTGGGCAGCATAGACACAGGTAGGATTCCAAGGTTCTCTGGTATTTGAAGGACTGGTATCAGGAAATAAGTAGCATTGTCTACTACAGCAAATAGATACTGCCTTGGGGTGAATACATCTAGCCAACCATTTCTAGAAAAGTGTATGAACTAGGAGTAGAAATAGATTGTCTAAAGAGCAGAGTCAGAACTTTTGATTCTGGGAAGATATTCAAAAAGAAAGAGGATCACCCCCAATAACAGACTTTGTCAAACTTCTGTTAGTCTCAAAATTCATATAATCCCTGGAATGTTCCAGATCAAAGGTCATGACCTTCCTACTAAACTTAAGTCTGTCTGGTGTGGGCTGCCAGCCATCATGTGATGTTCTGCAGTGAGTCTGCCACACAGAAATGTCAGCACAGAGTAGACAAACCAGGAAGTACCCTTCCACAGCCCTCCACCCAGGACAGAAGTGCAGCTACTACCTCATCCAAAGTTCCTTGACAGTCTTATCCAATCTGAAATGAAAACAACAGGAAAGAGGTGGGCAGACATGCTCCCCTCCATCTTAGACCCAAAAATACCCACGCCAGATGAAAGAAAGTAAAAATTAATTCAGATACGGAAGGTGAAGAAAGGTACAGGCTGCTCCCCTGTTCTGTTCATCCCAGGCTTCCTTCAAGCTACTGTTCATCACTTTGCCAGTTCACTCATAAAGTTGCACACGAGCAATGCTTAGGCTATGTCAAAAAGGAGAGAAGAGAGACAAATACAGAATCCAGATATGAAGGTCAAAGGAGTGATGGGGGGTTAGTAAAGGCACCAATGTGGTTAGTACAATCCATATGACAGAGAAAGAAATTTACTATCCACATTTTATCACTCATGGGGAGGCTCCTTCTACATTTCTTATGAAAAGATCCCTCGCTGATAAGGAGAAGAAGGGTAAAAGGAGGTGATCAAGTCATTTCTTCCCAGGTGGCATTTGCACCTTGCTTTGTCCTCGTGGCTGTGATGAAGAACGATGCCAGTGAACGACTCTTTATGTCCACATGGCACTCAGCTGCACTAAGCCTAGAGAAAGTCATCATGGGGAAAAGAATGCACCTATCAATCGCTATCTGTGCTAGAGAGAGTCAAGGCAGGCCCTCGGTTAAATCCTGATGTTTGCTTTTAGATGTCTCCTCATTGCCTCTCTGCACTTTGGCCCTGTTCTTAGCCCCCTTCTCTGAGGATGCCCAGACTGCTTACCAAGCACTTCACCCACATCAGTCGCCACTATCAGTACTGTCTGGGTCTAGACTTCCCTCAGTATTCCCTGCCACTAAAATGTGTGCTCTGTGCATTTCATATTTCATGTTACTACATGGCCAGTGTTCAAAAGGAGCTGATGAGACACTTCCCGGAATAGTTCTTGGGTAAAAGAGGAAGCCAATTTTGCAGTTTCAAAGTTTTTAAAGAAAAAAAAATGATAATGATTTGGGGGAGCAGTTTGCATCAAAATTTAGAGAACTGGCATTTTGTACATGTCTGAAATATTAAACCAGAACTCCTCACCCTAACCCAATACCCTTCTCCCTAGCAGCTAGAATTTCTAAGTGCTAAAAGACAGGCCTACCTAAAGTGTATTATGTCAAACTCCAAATTGGTCAACTGTCCATTCTCCTCCTGAGGTAGATCCTGTCCATCTCTCACTGCAGATAATGAGGAACAAGGGCTGGCTGAGTCCTTTGTGTTAGGACAAATAATGACTGCAAGATATTTAGCAAGGCATACCCACAGAGCAAAATCTATACACTTACTTACACAGATGGGTGAAGAAGCAAGGTTGTTGTTGTAACTAGGGATTTCCTACTTGTTTCCATAGAATGAAGGGAGTGTTGAATTTCTAAATCTGGATTGTTATTTTTTTGTTTCCTGTCCAAGAAGCCTGGGTCATAAACTGTGTGAGTGTGTGTGTGTGTGTGTGTGTCTGTGTGTGTGTGTGTCTGTGTGTGTGTGTCTGTGTGTGTGTGTGTCTGTGTGTGTGTGTGTGTCTGTGTGTGTGTGTGTGTACATGTGTGTGTATGTGTTTATGTGTATAAGCATATGTATATATGTGTCACAATATTGGGAAGGCAGTCTCATGCTAGTTGTTTTTAAATTTCTAACATACAAGTCTGGCATATTCTCCTAAAAAGAAACAATTTCATACCAATAGCCTTGATATCATTTCCCTTGTCTAAACCTAGAATTATAGGTTAGAAGATTAACAGGAGAAAAGGAATAGAGAAAAGGACAGGGAGATAAAGCGAAAGGACATACTGCCTCTTTTGACCACTCCCCTCTATCATTGCAATACTCAAGAATTAAGACTCTCCCACAGATGATATTGGTGGCAACAGATAAAGCCACAGAAGCCTCTATGTGATCCTAAATCTGGGAGCAAATTTGATCCTCAGAGTTAGACTCTCATCTCAAAGTGATGGTTAAAAACCTTACCATGAGGTTATGTGGTTAGTGCTAAGGTAGGTCTGAGGAAAATGACAGACACTTCAAATATTCCTTTAATCCTCAGGACTGAGAGTCTAGACCTATAATATCATAGTCTAGTGGGTCCATATGAACTTCATAGCTCAAAAGCATAGGGTAGCAGGCTTTCTGAATTTGTAGAAGTCAAAGCCAATAACAGTGGCATGGGATATGTAAGACAGGATCAACCAAGGATCACTTCCCCTGTTGCACCCTAGCAGGAGTCCTGTTTCATTCATTTTCTTCCCTGGTGTTCTCTGAGGTCTGAAGTTGATACCTACTCTATTGTAGATGGTCTACTGCACATGTATAGGAGCCATG